TCTCATTGTTATTATCAATAACATTGATTTGAGTTATGTCATTGTTTCATTGTTATTATCAATAGCATTGATTTGAGTTATGTCATTATCGTCACGTTATTATCAATAGCATTGATTAGAGTTACGTCATTGTCTCATTGTTATTATCAATAGCATTGATTTGAGTTATGTCATTGTCTCATTGTTATTATCAATAGAATTGATTTGAGTTATGTCATTGTCTCATTGTTATTATCAATAAAATTGATTTGAGTTATGTCATTGTCTCATTCTTATTATCAATAGAATTGATTTGAGTTATGTCATTATCATCTCGTTATTATCAATAGCATTGATTAGAGTTATGTCATTGTCTCATTGTTATTATCAATAGCATTGATTTGAGTGACGAACATTCTAAAGTTACATCAGTTCTGGTAATCATGACCTTGTTCTATTGCCCAATATAAAATGTGTAGCTTCATTACATTGTGTGTGAATGTACATGTATGTATACATGGCCTGTAAATAACACAACAGAACATTCATTGTAACAGCTGCTATTGATTGTCCTCAATCTCAAACTACTCAATCTAGTATAGAAATAGAAACATTTTTGGTGTAGGAGTTTACAAATTTTTTTTTTAATTTCTTTGTTTATTTTAGGATGGAATGGACATGATTGGCTACAGGTTTCAACCATCAATTTATGCAAAAACAATATGCAGGATTATTCCATGAAAAGCGGCAAAAGTTTGTTCAATCAAACAACATTTCAGTAACTACAATATCACATTTAAATTGTTTTAAACTAATGCCTAAATCAGCGTAACACCCAGTCATCAATTATAGATGGTGTTCTAATTAAATCCAAATAGCTATTATTCATTATACATAAATAATCTACCATAACTGAAACTGTGTCCTTTCTGGGGAGTATCATCCACTAAAATTGTGTGTCATCTGAGAATTTTAGAAATATAACTGTAACAGTTACATTGTATAATTTATTTTAAATTTTGGGTTTGTTTACATCATTAGGTGCATTATATTCATTCCTTAACATCCATTCCAATGAATATTTGTTAATAAATAAATTCTATATTCTAGTATTAAAACTAAACTGAAATGAGAAGGCATCTCTTTGATCAGTTCATCATTAAAATAACCATCTTATGTGGTATTCATTTTCCCATAGAGTTTTATGCACAATATTCAAACACCATTCTGACCAATAGCATGGCAGCAAAACTCAGATATTCTGTCATTGCCAGCCACTAGTAAATGTTTGAACAGTATATTTGCATGATAGATGTCACCAGACAAACTATGATACTTATGATTGAAATTATTATGCAAGGCTGCAGACAACAAATGACAAATTTAGTAAATCTATGGTATATTAGATGTTTTGTTTATATCTTGTTGTTTTCTGTACTAGGATACATGTATATGACATCATTGAAAATGTCATAATAACATTCTGTGCAACAATCAGTGGAATTTGAAATATTAGAAACAAAACAACAATGTTTTCAAACATCACAAAAAACAGCATTTTAAACAGGGCTTCAAGGCAATCCTGAGCACCCATTATTTATAATATTAAATAATAATATAATATCCTTTAAAAATTAATAATATTAAAAACAAAATTCAATGGATATCAACAACCAAGAATGTCAGGTCTGTGATCAGTTCCACATAAACACACCAAGTTTCATTGACATTTGATGAGTTGTTCTTGAGTTTTCAGAATAAAAATAAAAATTCACAAATTATTATGAAAATTAAGTAATTAACAGATTTCAACCCAAAACTAATCAGTACAATGTACATTGTCCATGAAGATAAAATCCAAAGAGTGGCTCTTGAGATACCAGTGGAAATTACATACAAGGAGTACCTATATAGCTTCAATCAATAATTATAGTGGTTACATGCATGCACATCTATGTATTAAAATAATTACATTTTATATAACTGAACTACATAAATACGACAAGCTTGCAAATTTTGGAACTTGGTAAAGTATGATGTACTGGGTATTTTGAATAATAATTGACTATTGTGTCCTTCATGGCGACAGTGATGAAAGCCATTCAGTCTGTCTACAATGCAAAGTGTTTTCACAGTTTTATTGAAGTAACTACAGTGTTTTTGACATGAAACGATTTGAGTTGAAGTGGATAAAAGCATTTCTATAAATAAATGAAATCTATCTGAGGATGGATTTTATTGACCCAATAATTACAATCCTTAACAGTGTGAATGAGTGCACAATCAGATATCAATTTAAATCGCTATATGTATTCTTTGCGTTAGAATCTAACAAACTGTAACCAATTAAAGGAAATTTTATAATGCAAAAGAGAAAAAGAGGAGACATTAAAATTGGAAACAATATTAATATTAATATTTTGGGGAGATTATATTTTTATTCCACATATGACAACAGGCAAAGCAATGTTTTTCCAATTAGTTTTTGTACAAAACAACATGTACATGTAGTGTGAACAATTTTTAAATTAAGTAGTTGAATCAAAATCATTGTAATTTGCAATTCAAAATGAAAATAACAAATTGTTACTTACCTATTTGACACTGTTTTCCCAGTGTTCCCAATGGACATTGACATCTTAACAGGTGGGTCACAGGATTTTCCATACATTGCCCAGAATTCAAACATGAAGGAAGATCACCACAGCTTTGATACACATCTTCCAAAGTATTCTCCATCTCCTCTTCCATTTCTATGACAGCAGTTTCCATGGCAACTACTTTATTATGTTCAGTCTGTTGTTGTTTCTTGTTCTTGGTAGCAACATCATTAAGGCCATCACTTTGGTAACCGTTTAGTTTCACATTGGTATCAATATCTATATCTGAGAGATAAAATATGCATTAACAAGTACATCAGTTTAATAGAGATACAATGAAAGAAACAAATAATGTTTTTAGACTTTTTATATAGAGTAGTTTCTGCTTAATTCACAGTTCAGAGCATTCTGAGAGTCATACTTTTATTACAAAGACAATACAAAAGAACCGAATTGAATATAATAGAATAGGATAGAATAGTATAGAAGCAAATATGGTACATCTATGCTTACAGTAGAAATGTATTTTATATATTTACAGGCAGAAAGCAGAATTACAGCTGTGTGAATTTTCAGTCATAGTAATCTGCTACCCACTGTGACAAAAATGTTGTGATTTTTCATGTACATTTAGAACAAGAACAGCAGTACCAATATTATACCAATAGTTCAAGTAAATGTCACAAGCCTGCTGAGTATGCAGCCAACCACAATCTCCCTGATGCTGGGCAGACATGCTACCTTTTATAAGCCACACATCAAGTTATTCACAATTACTGGTGATGACTATACTGATTCTACCAATACTAATATGTGATAAATCCAAATTGTAATAAACATGAACAATTTAACTAATTTAAATATTCAAATTATTAACATATAAATCACTATAAAGTAATACATTGTTGGACATAACCTTGTGATCTCAATATAATCAGCTGATAGTATACATGTAGCTTTAGGATAAACTAAAATATGTCATCAAATGGTCGTTTTCAATAAAAATACTCCATCAAAGTCTATAAACTAGCAGCCTGTCGGCTGCGATAGTTCCACTGTTAGCAATGCACATTTCAATTAAAGAACTAAAGATATTATTAGAAAATGAACAATATGTATAGTACATTGTATCAAAGCAATCAGACTTACTGTTCTCAACAAGAATTCGAAAAACTATAACATTTTACCAAAAATATTCATCAAAATTAGATAATTGAAGGTACATGTATCATCACGAAATGAACAAATTTGAGAGAGATCCACATGCGGTACCTATATAGGTATGTAATATCATTTAGCAATCAGACTTGCCGTTTTTAACAAGAAGTCGAAAATATCACTTTTTACCAAAAATGACAAAAATATTCATCAAAATTAGAGAATTAAAGATATCATCACGAAATGAACAAATCTGAGAGAGGTCCACATGTAGTACCTATATATTTAATATCAAAGCAATCGGACTTGTGGTTTTTAACAAGAAGTCGAAAATATCACTTTTTACCAAAAATGACAAAAATATTCATCAAAATTAGAGAATTAAAGATATCATCACGAAATGAACAAATCTGAGAGAGGTCCACATGTAGTACCTATATATTTAATATCAAAGCAATCGGACTTGTGCTTTTTAACAAGAAGTCGAAAATATCACTTTTTACCAAAAATGACAAAAATATTCATAAAAATTAGACAACTGGGGATATCATCATGAAATGAACAAATCTAAGAGAGGCCTAAGAGTATCAAAGCATTCAGGCTTGTAGTTTTCAAGAAGAAGTCGAAAAAGTAAAACAATGACACGGACGACAACGACAACGGACAATCACTCATATGATAAGCTCCGCTGGACAAAGTCGACAGCGGAGCTAAAAATATGAAATTTGTGAACTTATGGGTTAAACTGGCAAATACATGTATAGCCAAGGACTTTATGGAAATTTGAAACGTCCAGACAAATGAAATGAAACTATATAAAATAGGATGTCTAGTTTAGACAAGCCATATAAAAAAAATATATCTGTATTAAATGAAATTTTTTTTCACAAAAGCTTTACATGGAACACAACGCAATGTGACATCTTGTTGATTTAAAGGCAGAGGAAAAATAAATAATAAAAAATAATTTGTTTCCGACAACCCTATCTACTCGTATAGTGAAACTAAAATTTTCATTTTATGTAAATTAGTCTTATTTTATTTTTATGCAAATGACCAGAACATGACTAACTCGCAATTGGTAGCCACTGTCTTTTCATCGCATATCTGTATTAAATGCAGGACTGTGATAGAAACAAACTGTAAAGTATAAAGTATTAGGTATGATTTTATAAGTAAAATATACTAAAAATTTGAGTACACAATATTTTGCTCATTATTATAACAAAATTGTTTGTCTCTCAATCTAACGACATGGTGTCTGAGATAACCACTTCCAGGGAGATTGTGCATTTAGACGATAAATAGTTAGAAATTATATTTTCTATGTAATATACAATATTACAACATGAAATAAATAGACAAATATTTAAAGTTAGTTAGTTGCATTGTAACATAGTGAATGAAAAAAATGTAATACTTAAATACCAAAGTGACTTTACAATGTCTGTTTTTTAAAGTTAAAATTTCACAAATCAATTTGGTAAATGGCTCAATAATCACCATTTTAATGGGTGTTTGACCTGTGTTTTGTGCTAAAAGTATTTTGGTGACCAGATAATTTTATCTCAGATTCATGAACAACAGCATAAAATAATCTGATCATTTCTTTAAATGCTAGTAAACCACTTTCAAATCAGCAGTGAATTGTGTTCATTTATATTTTTCATTACAAATTTAATTTTCTTTCATTATTTGTAAAATTCTTACAAATACCTAAAAATCCTTTGATATTGACATATTTAACTGCCACACGTCATGACCAGAATCATGCATACTTTTTGTATAATCCCAAACTAGATGTCTAAGTAACTTATGCTGTACAAGTACATGTATATAAAAAATTAAAATGATCATATTTTGTATTAAATTATAATCCTAAAAGAAGATCAAAAGATCAAAACCATGTCCTTTAAATATATTCACCTTTAGATTATACAAGTTTGTCAACTTTGACTTCCACTTGGAATCCACATGTCAGTTTCATACAGCCATCCATTTTTAATACACATATGAAATCCCTATATTAAGTTCAATCAGCTATTATCATTTCAAAATATAAATTTATGTATAAAGTTCTAAAAGGCATACAAGCACATCTCATTCATTCCCCATCTTTAAATATCCGTATCTGGTGACACATTACCTCTTAAAATAAGAAATAGTTGTCATATAATAATATTTCTAAGGTCTATCCTTCCTATTACTTGGACATCTAAAATATTTACTTTCATTATTTAGTTTTTTAATTATTATCTTATTTCATTTGTGTCAATTTATATTTTATCAGATGTATGTAGATTTACTGCTGATAATTCTCTCTCAGGAAAGCAATATGTGTAATTATCAGAACCAACAATGGGTTAGCGGGTTACATACTTCACTTCAATGTCATTACCGTATTGTATTGTGGGATATATATGCACGAGTAGGGAATAACAACATTTTCGAGAGGCATGTAGTTTGACATTATCAAAGTACAAAAGTGGTAGCCATTTACTCATGATTGTGAGGTACAGTGAGTACAGATCAATGAAAAATAATAGTCATATTTTTATTCACAGATTTATTAATTTATCAACCTCTATAAAGACCATATGTCTATAAAGGCCAAGTTTTTGTTAACACATTGCCTGCTGAAAGCCTCTGCATTGAAATCAATAAACCACAACTGCATTGCATTGCATGAATGGCTACAGAGAATTGCATGGATCAAGGTCCCCCAGCAGGAAACCATGTCATACTATTTACTGGTACATTGATTGCCTTGATTTCTGACACACTGGCTTTTGATCTAGTGCTTCACCTGATGTGAAATGCAATGGTTCAAGGCAGTTTGAGTCAAATTCAAATTTGGCACTACTGAGAATAAAATTCCCATTTGATATAATGAAAAATTATTATCACTCTGGAAACTCACTAAATTGTATGTCAATTTTTTGAAATGTTTTTACAATATTAGGATTACTATCAATAATAATATAAGACTTTTTCATCCAATGTCACCAAGCAAAATTTGAAATAACAAAAAATTGAAACCACTGTAAAAATGCCAATTTTGACCATTTTCCATTACATTTGAGACTCTATCTCGAAAAATTATTTGGTGACCCAATTTTTTGTTCATTTTTGATATCTTGTTATTATGAACTTATAATAATGAAAGTATATAACATATAATCTTGAATTCAATTCTGCTTGAACCTCCAGAATCCAAACTAAAATATATGGAAAATTGCACTGGATACTAGAAGGCATTAAAAAATAGACACATACATACATTCACAGTTTCACCATATACCTGGTTATAATCTAATATAATATAATATGATATGATATATATAATATTATAATAATCACTTTCAAAGGGTTATGGTGGCAGTGAGTTTCCTATTTCTGTTTTTTCATACAATGTAATCCTAATCCAGAAACAGACATGTAACTAAAGCTGTCATCACTATTTTATGAACACAATTCTTAGCCATATAAGACGTTACTATTTTCAAATGTTCAACTTAAAGGTGAAGCAGAGATCTCTGCAGTGATTAAGGAGATGTATGTAGTGTTATCATGAGTAAATAGCTGGTGGCTAAACAGAGATGTTTATAAATTTAATAATATAGGATCTCTCATGGGTCTACCTATAATATAAGACTTATTAAATGAGCCCTTAGCAATCAAAGCATGCACACAGTAATAAATCCATGTATAGTGTTTCTCATATATATCCACTTAGGAGTATGTTTTCTACTTTCATCTGTAGCTACCATCCCTTTAGATAAATTTATCTCCTTGTGTAAATGTATAGAGAATTGGACAA